GTGTGTGTGTGTGTGTGTGTGTGTGTGTGTGTGTGTGTGTGTGTGTGGCAGTAGGGTTAAATCACTTACCCAGGGTCGCACAGCTAGTAAGTGTCAAGTGTCTGAGGCTGGATTTGAACTCAGGTCCTCCTGACTCCAGGGCTGGTGTTCTATCCACTTTGCCACCTAGCCTACCCCTAACACCTCTGTCCAGTGACACTGGTCTCCTGGCTTTTTCATAAATAAGACACTCCATCTCTCAGTCTGGGCATTTTCTCTGGCTGTCTCCTTTGCCTGGAACACTCCCCCATCCTCTCTGACTGCTGACCTCCTTGGCTTCCTTTAAGTCCCAACTAAAATCCCATCTTTTACTGGAAGCCTTCCCCACTCCTTATTCTAATGTCTCCCTCTATTAATTACTTCCTATTTATGCTGTGTTTATGGTTTGCTTTGTGTATATTTATTTGCTTATTGACTCCATTAAATTGTAAACCCCATGGCAGCAGGAACTGTCTTTTGCCTCTTTTTTGTACCCCCACTGCCTAGTGTAGTGCCTGGCATATGGTAAGTGCTTAATAAATGTTTATTGCTTGATCCTATGCTGAGAATTAGTGGTAAAGCGAGGACTTGACCTAAGGTTCAAAGTCTCCTGCTCCTGTTGTAGTGCTCTTTCTATATTGTCTGAGTGTTGTAAGTAATCCTCACAAAGCCTGACTTGGTGACGTGTTATCTAAAGATGGAAATTTCAAATGGGCTATGGTAAGGTTCCAGAGGAATTTGCCCTTGATTTATTTTTAAATTTGGAAGTCACACAAAGAGACTCAGTCTCCAACTAGTCGTCAAAGGCCTGTGCATGATGAAATAAATATGAATTAGAAGTGTATGAGGAAAGTAATAACTGCCAAAATGGGAAAACAAAACAGGTCAGAAGTCAAGACCTATTCCCCTGCCCCCACCATCTTACAGTTAAAAAAATATTATCCTGCCTCCTGCCCTAAGGACAATTGGAAGATTCATGGTGGGTATGAGCAGACTGCAGAATGTTTAACAACAAGGAATCTGTGTAACAGTGTAAAAGGCATGGGAAGGGAAGTGTCTTACTTAGGAAAAGTGAGAGTTAACCCAAGTTGGACCTTGGAATCCCCAAGGTAGTAAAATCCTACCTGCCATCCTTGGTGAAGGTTTTATGGGAAAACATTGCTAAGAACTCTGCAGGAGAAAGTGAGCAGTTGTTGTCCATTGAGGAAATGCCTGAAGACAGTTGATCTCAAACCCCTGTCCTTTAAATTGTTTCAATCCATTTTACCCTGAATGTAAACATGGGAAACTTGAGGTGACTTTGTTTTCCAGAAAGATTAAGATTAGAAACTGGGCTTCAAAGTTTACCTTTAATATTCTGTTCTGGTCAGAGCAGAGAATATTCAATTCTGAGTGCTACATTTTAGGAGGCGCGTTGACAAGGTACAGTGTGTCCTCTGAGAGTAAGGGAATCGGACGTGAGAATTGTCCTGCTAGGGTCAGGTGAAGGAACTTCCTGTTATTTAGCCTGGAGAAGAGAGTAATTGGAGTGATTCGATTGCTATCTTTAACTATTTGAACGGTGACTTGTGGAACCAGGGTCAGGCTTGTTCCCTTGGTTTGGTCCAGGATTAGAACTAGAAGCAGTCAGAGGAAGCTGCAGAGAAACCTTCTGAACAGGAAAGGGGCTCTCTTGTTGCAGGTCTTTATAGAGGTCTGTATTGGCAAACTTGTAGGAGGTCGTAGAAGGGGTTCTGCCTCAGTTACCGACTGAACTGCATGACCTCGAAGGTCCTTTTCCACCTCGAGAGTCTGGGGAATGGAAGAAGTGAATGTGTAGATTGCTCCAAAGATGGCAAGAGAGGTCCAGTTCTCATCCTGGCTCAAGATGTGGCCATATTCCACCTGTTAATTAACATAGACGTCATTTTATCTCTCCATTGA